GCAATGCCTGCAAGGTGCCACAGGGGCCCAAAGGCACACCATTGAGGAACTTGTGGCCTTGTATGCTTGCAAGAAAGCAAATGAGCCCCCCCAGCCTCCCCCAGATGCTTGCAAGAAAGCACAAGAGCCCTCCCAAGATGCTTGCAAGAAAGCCAATAGCTCCAGCTCTGTGGGGTTGCCCTTGCGCAAGAGCCACACCGAGAGCGCCCCTGGCTCAGAACAGGCTTGCAAGAAGGCCAGAACTTTGAAAGAAGAAATTTCAATGGTCTCTGTAGATTCTCATGGGTTCCCCATGATCTTGAAATCACCAGAAGCCTCCAAGGATAGAGAGCGACCCATGTCAATTTTAGAACGACAGAGGGCGAGTTACAGGGAGCAACTGCAACAGGCTGCCCAGGCAGCTGCCCAGCAGCATGTGGCAGATGGAAGCTCAAGGCCTGCAAGAAGGCCTGGTCTTTCCAAGAAGCCAGCCGGCAAACCAAAAGCCAAGCAATGCATAAAGAAAAAGCCATCTTACTCAGGGCCTGAAAGGAGGCCAAAAGCCAAGCAAGGCCCAAAGAAAAAGCCATCTTACTCAGGGCCTGAAAGGAGGCGATGGTCAGATGTGAAGAAAGTTTTGGGAAAGGATCAAGCCTATCTACTAGGCCTGCAAGAAGGCCAGTGGAAACTCATAGTGGGCTGCACAAAGAAAATGGGCAAACATTTTCCAGGGGGGCACCACAGTGTGATCCTGGAGTTGGAAAAAGTTGTGATGGAGGAAGGCACGACAAAAGAGAAGATGCAACAAAAAAGGGATGCTTTGGTCAAAGATGTTGACTGATTTGGTCAAAGATGTGGACTCATATGCTTGCAATGGCCTGAGAGAAGGCCAACAATATTTGTGTTTTTGCTTCAAGGCCTGAAGGAAGGCCAGTGAAGGTAGATCATGTGTAAAGGCACATTGACAATTGCATTTAGCTGGCCGATGAAAAAAGAGCGAGTGATCTGGGAGGGCTGTGTCTTAAGCTCTTGCAATGTTCTGGTATATTGATTGACCAACATCAAACTAAGCTGTAGGGAAGCCATCTAAAGTATCAATTTCCCCTGCTCTCAAGAGACACCCACAAAAAGAATAGACTAATATATACTTTCCAATCCATTCACATGCTCTTTGGTGCTTAACTGTTCAATGTAAGTATCAGCAGTTTTAAAGCCAGTGGTGTTTACCTAAAGCATTTTTGAAAATTTTCAGCTACTTCTTTATATCTTTAAAATTTCTCTATATATATAAATATGTATTGAGCCAAACAAGAAATATATGTATATTTTGTTGTATTTATGCATTGAACAAACAAACATATTTATACATTTCTAGCCTCAACAACTAACCACAGACATGCTCGAATGTGTGCACCCCACTTTTTTTGGCTCAAGCAAGCAAAGCTTTTTGTTAGCAAACAGAAACTCAAGAGCTGCAAGAGGCCTGCAAAAAGGCCCAGCTGCCTGAAAGAAGGCATGCCCTGGCAGGGGAACTGGGGCAAAGGTTGGAGAAGCTGGAAAGAAGAAATGGAAAGAGAATGGGCAAATGAAGACGAAAAAGACCAATGGCTGCAGGCCAGAAGAGACAGGTGGGCAGATGGTGGCCAAAGTTCTTCTGAAGAAGGCAAGGGGCCTGCAAGAAGGCCAGAAGGAAAAGGCCAGAAGGGCAAGAAGAGCAAGGGAGAAGGCAAGAAGGGACCTGAAAGAAGGTCAGACACAGAAGAGAAAGGCCAAAAGGGAAAGGGGAAAGGCAAGAAGGGGCCTGAAAAAAAACAGAAGAGAAAGGCAAGAAGGGAAAGGGAACAAGAAGGGGCCTGAAAGAAGGCCAGTCTTTGAACCTGAACACTGGGCAGGCAGGCCAGAGTGGGACCCTTTTTGGCAAGAAGGACGAGGCAAAAGGTCCAGAGAGGCCAGAAAGGCTGAAAGGTCCCAAAGGCCAGATGTGCAAGAAAGGAGGGAAAGGGGCCTGCAGGAAGGCTACCCTCCAAACCAAGTTCAGCCCCTACAGCCAGGGTCCCAAAAGTGGAGGCTGATCAAAGAAAGGGAGAGGGACCTGGCAGCTGTGGAAAGGGAGGTGTTGGCTGACAGAGCCAGGCTGGCAGAGGAGAGGGCAGCCTTCCTGGAACTGCAGCAAAAGTTCCTTGAGGAAAGGCTTGGGGGGCCACAGCCAGCTGTGGTTCTGACTCCTGCCAGCGTGGCAGCAGGCCCTGCAGTGGTCTTGAAAGAAGGGCCATGTGGGGAGATGCCTGAAAAAAGGCCAGATGAACCTTCCCCAGACGTGGAGAGGCCTGAAAAAAGGCCAGATGAGTCCCTTCAAGAGGAGAGCGAAGCCTGAAAGAATGCCAGAAGAAACTTCATCGACCGATATAATAAGTCTTCCTCCAGCGACTCAAAAGAGGAAGACCAAAAGAAGCAGAAGGTCGAGTCAGATGACCCCTGAGGCTTGAAAAACAGCCAACACTGTGCCCTCAAAGTTTCACCTGGGAGAGGCTTGAAAGAAAGCCACCCAGTGCATGCCAA